TCTTATTGTTTTATATAGACAATATTACACACATGTATATATAAATAAATGTATAATTTGAATAAGAGCATCAATGGAGATGGAGACTCTCTCTCTCTCTCTAAATACCATCAATGGAGAGTCTCACGATATATATGCATATGTATATATCTATTTTGTGGTTATGGATGGTGAATATAGTGTGAGAGAGAGGGCATTAAAGTCTTTTTATGATATAAATATGGTTGTGCACAAGTCAAAGGGCATTTAGGTAGGGGAAGAGCCAGAAATACAAAGTTGGGGAGGGGGGGGGGGGGGTGTTTAAAAAATTTGTAACGGGAGAGGGGGGGGGGGGGGTGGTTTAAAAAAATTTGTAACAAATTTTGTTTAATGCATTTTAGACTTTTTTTATTTTTTATTTTTTGTTAACATGTCTATAAATGATATGTAAATTAAAAATGAAGAGAAGAACATATATGACAGTTGATAAATGAGGTTGTCAAATTAAAGTCTATATTTTTATTTTTAATTCATAACAAACAATATATATGTGTGTGTGTGTGTAGTGTGCGTTTGAGTATATGCATATAGTACTATATAATAATAAAACTGAATATTGTATGAAGGATATGAATTGAGTACTTATAAGTTATATTAAGATTGCAATAATAACCTTTCTCACAAAAAAAAAAAAAAAAAGAAAAGGATTTGTTAGACTTTGAGGAACACAAGCAATTTTTTTTTGCAAATCATCTTTAATAACCATAAATAAGTAACAAATATAAGTATTTTTTGAAACTTTGGGGGGTCAATTTTAATTTTTCTATAGTAAATTACCATTAATAATTATAAATATACACTATTAATAGAAGTTACAGAAAATTTTGAGGGGGCCAATTTAAAATTTTCTATACTAAATTACCTTAAATAAGTATAAATGTACACCATCAATAGAGGTTACAGGAAAATTTGGGAGGGCCATGGCCACCCCTGGCCCCTCCCTCCCTCCTTCTCTTTGTCCCTGCATTTAGGTCATTTTATCGTGTATTAGATGTGGCAGGTGATGATTTAGGAGTCTTTTATTAACTTTATGAAACTTGAGGGGGTGCCATTATTCAAAAAAGGACTAACTTTCATCTGGCTGTTTATAGGGTAAACCTCAAGGAGGGTGAGTGTAATTAACCCTTAAAAATAGAATGATTCATTACAAATTTCCAATTCATTTTATTGGATCATTCATTCATTCCAACATAAGAATGACAATTCCCCTTCTTGAAATGTGAAATGACCTTTTTTTTTTTTTTTTTTTTTTTTTTTTTTTTGACACCAACAAGGAAGCAATAATATAGAAGAAGGAAAAATACAATAAGTGAGAAGAGCATCCAACAACCACTTGGTCAGATGCTCCATTCTAAATGTCCACGAGCAGCTACAAGAGCCTTCTTGGGAGCTACAACATTTCCTCCCCGAGGAACCTAAGCCAGAGAGGCAACCAAACAGTCCTTAAGAAGAGAAATGACATCCTAAAAAATAATAAATAAAGCCTCCACAGAGGCTTGAAGTTGCATCACAGGCAAACAATCTCCCTCAATAATAACATTGTGGTAACCCCAGAGCTTAAGAATAGAAAGACTTTTCCGAAGAATCAGACCCTTAACAAGCTCCGGACTGGAGATAATAGACAAAAAGGCCGAAGCAACCTCGAGCGGAAAACCATGATGGTTTATAAGAATTAGACTTCCCCCACAAGTCTTCATGGAAGAATTAAAGGAGGTGTTAAAGTTAAGTTTGAAATAGCCCTCATAGGGAGCACTCCACCTCAAAGGTTGAAGGGCCATAGGGGGAGAAGAGAAAGAGAGCGGTGTACTTTGGCGAGAGATTTCCCAATATTCTTGGTAATCTAGAAAAGCCTTCAAAGCTGTGTCGAAAGGGTCCCATCTTTTCTTCTTGAAAATGAGGTCATTTATGCATTTCAACAAATGAACGCTCCCAAACTAAAGCTTTCCACCTGGTTTACGAAGAAACTCCAAATGTCAGATAGATCAACCCAACATTTTGGCCAAAAGGAGGGACATTGGCTACTAAAATCCAATCTAAGGGGACTTAATTTCCACACCAAGTAAGCAAAAGGGCAAGTAAATAGAAGGTGATCCACTGTCTCGACAGCTGAAACACACCAAGGACAATTAGAGATTTCCGAACTACCACGTAAAAATAATAGATGGTTCACTGGAATTCTATCATGGAGAGATTGCCAAAGAAATAATAAATTTTTTCTATAAGCTTTAATAGTCCACACTTTGCACCACATAGCCTTTTTGTAGGCCTCAAATCTATAACCCACCTCTGCACCAGAATGAGACTTCTTATGTAATATTGAAAGTGCAACTTGGTAAGCATTTTTAAGAGAGAAGTTCCCATCTTTAGAAGCATCCCAAACTTTTCGATCCACCCCTCCCGTAAAACTGATAGGAATTTAGAGAATCAAATCTCAATATCTTTTATTAAAATGCCGAGCAATCAGACTTGTATTCCACTTATGAGAGGAGTGGTTAATAAAGTCGGCAATTGACGAGAGATTTGTGTGTGAGCTTGAAGAAGTAACAAAAAAATTTGAGGGGTCAGGAAGCCAGTTATCCTGCGAACAATTAATCTTTAAGCCATCCCCAATACAACATTTCATTCCTTTTTTTATGACATTCTCAGCTGAGAGAATGCTCTTCCAAACCCATGAGGACCGGGGTTTATTAGGAGCATCTACAAAATTACAATGCTCGAAATGTTTCTTTTTGAAAGACTTGAAAAGCAAAGAATCATCACCCATTTCCATCCACCACGTCATCTTAGCAAGAAGAGCTAAATTAAAGGCTTCAACATTCTTGAAACCCAGACCCCCACTACCTTAGAATCATAAATTGAATCCCAACTAATCCACTTGATTTTGTGATATTTCTCTTCACCGTTCCACCGGAAGTTGAGAAACTTGCTAGATAAGTCTTTTACAATTATGCTTAGGAAGCTTAAGACATTGCATAGCATAAGTTGGCAAAGCGGAGAGCACCGCTTTCACTTCATTCCCTCTCATTCTATCTATAAAAAAAAAATGGCTCTTTTTGGTAATCTAATTTTTTAAGAGGATGACTTTGTATATTTTTTTAGTGAATTAATTAACAAATCTATCCATAGTGGGTCCATAGGGATGTAATTATTTACTTTTTATAAATTCAATGCAAGATGATTAAATTGGTAATGTTATTAAAAAAAAAAAATAGTACTTTTAACTTTTTAATTGAGACGTTTATTTTGGACTTTCAAAAATAGAAAAGTGGACATTTATTTATTTTTATTTATTTTTTTAGACGGAGACAATAATATCAGAGACCAAAAAACCCTTTGGCTTCATTTCAGACAAATCTACTACATTGGTCGTTCTCTTTGTACGATAACTTTGCTCTCTCTATATGACTTAGGTTCTCTCTCCCTCTCTTTTTAGCACTAACCTAAATCACTTTCTCTTCACATATATTGTGAATATATATATATCATATGTATGCATATAGACAGTTATCTCTAGGTCTGTTACACATATTCCCTCTCTAATTTGTGCTCTCTCTCTCTCTCTCGTGTACAACTCTCCATATATATATATGTGTGTGTGTACGCGCGCAGGGGTAGAGCCAGTGTATGTCGAGGGGGTACTTGCCCCTAGCCTGGCCTAGCCTGCCCATTAAAAATATATGGTAATTTTTTTTATATACATAAATATATGAAAATTTTAAGGTAATGTCCCCCTAAAATTATTAAATTCTAAAATTATCTATTAATTTTTAATTATTTTTTCTTTTACTCTTTAAATTCTTTCGAAAAAGTTAAATTTTCCTCCTTAAATAAAACTCTAATTTTTTTCCTTCTAAAATGGGTCATTTTTTTTTTTCTACTTTAAATTCTTCTCTTTTTCTGTTTCTGTTTCTTCTTTTCTCTGCCCACGTGTGTGGGGGGACAACCGACAAGTATATAACATGCATATTATATAAATTTAGTCATACTGCTCAGATTTAATATTTCATAAATCTATTTTTTTTTTCACCATTATAAATCTATTTTTTTTTTCACCATTATAAATCTATTAACATCTTGAATACTTAAATAATTATAATAAAAATGCAATATATGAAGATTATAAAATCATTTTACATGATATGCCATATCTACACTTTTTTTTTGGGTTAACTATCTACCCTTCTCTCTCCTTCCTCCAGGGGTGCAACTTAGGTTTGGTAACATGAACTCAGCCTGATTTTTCACAAGTTTGGACAATTATTTTTACAGTTAGGGTTGGGCTTGGGTCGAAAAATCTCAATCCGAATTTAATTAGGGTTGAGCTTGGGTTGAAGAGGTAACAACCCGAGCCAATTCGAACCCGAATTCTAATATTATTTTTATATATATTTTTACTTTTACATTATATATAATATTTAAACTATGATTAGTTTTTTTTTTTTCAACTTGTTTTTGTTAAATCTTAATTTATTGTATGTTAACATTTAAGATAATTAATTTTTTAAAAATTTGTTTGTAATTTATTAAAAATTTACAAAAAATCAATAAACTTTTTCTTTTTAAGAATAATTTAATCTAAAATTAATTCAAAATTATATTAAATTTTCGGTTTAAAGGTTAGTCATATGAGTAACCCCGAATTAAACTGAAGGTTTTTTTTTTTTGAAATCTAAACAAGAGTTACAAGTCCGAATTTAAAAGTAGAAGAATGAATTAGATTTAAATTGAGTAGTTAAGACTGAAAATAAGATTAAGATTGGATTTGAATTTAACATTTCAGGTGATAAATTGTATTCAAATTATACATAAAATTCGTTAAACCCGTGAAATTGCAGCCCTTCTTCGCTTCTGTTTACTTTTAGAGGGATGGTACAGGTGGACTTTAAGGTCTGCTCGTCACATCCCTATTTTTTATTACTCCGACGAGGCATGACACAAGCGTAGGACCGCCCAATATGAATGGCTGGACTTGTTGAGTATGTTAGTCGACAGAACATTTCCGAAATGAACACTACTCCTCCACTAATTGTGGATGCACACTTAATGAGTTACGCAGACTCACCCATCATTTTTCTAAGAAAAACCAAAAAAAAAAAACCAACCATGTCTCTTTACCAATTTACCCTTTAAACTAACTAAAAATGAAACGAAACATCTATAAACAAATCAAAAGATCCATGTCAAAAATTTACCACCCATGTCAAAAACGATTAGAATTGCTTTACAAATGTCAAAAGACTCCAATCATTTGGACTCTCTAACCAAAACATTCTTAATACTGATATTTCTAGAGCGAGAGAATGCAAACTTGAGTAGAATTGAAGCGCGAGAGAAGACAAACAATGGAGAGCAGTATATGGATAGCTACGGTAGCGAGCATTTGGATCCAGTGCAGCAGCGGCGCATCGTACGCCTTCGGCATCTACTCCTCCGTCCTCAAATCATCCCAAGGATACGACCAGTCCACGCTCGACACTGTCTCCGTCTTCAAGGACATCGGAGCCAACGTCGGCGTCCTCTCCGGTCTACTCTACACCGCCGTCTCCGCTCCCCGCAGCCGACGCCGCTCTCCCATCTCCGTTGGGCCCTGGCTGGTCCACGTGGCGGGGGCGATCCAGTGCTTCGCGGGCTACTTCTTTATATGGCTTGCGGTGATCGGAGCCGTCCACACGCCTCCGGTGTCCGTCATGTGCATCTTCATGCTGATTGCGGCCCACGCTCAGACGTTCTTCAACACCGCCAATGTCGTCACCGCCGTCCGGAACTTCCCTGATTACGGTGGCACCATTGTCGGCATCATGAAGGTATGTATGCACTCTGTTTCATTTTAATTTAATTTCTATCAGAGCGGTTGGTTTCTTCATTTTGTTTCCTAGTTATTATTATTTCATATATATTTTTTAATGAAAATCTCAGTTTATTTCGATAATATTTATTGGGTTATCTAAAAATTGGGTAAAAAAAAAAAAAATCTGCTTTTTGAAATTTTTTGGGGAAAATAAAATGTTTTCAGTTTTTAGAGTTCTTGAATTTCCTTTTGTTTGAACAGAGGACGGTTCATCCTGCTGAAGGGTGACAGCTTTCCAACCTTGAAGTTCACTTTGGATTTTATCATATGATAAAACTGACGATATATCAACCAAGGGTTTGTCCTAGTTAGAAAAGAGTCGTCATGGTGCCTCACAAAGCATCAGGGAGACATAGTCCGAATTTTATCCAATTTGTGAATTAGTAGGTCAAATCAATGCCAATTGAACCCTTAATGCTCACTTTTATAGAAGTTCTTGAAACTTTTTGCTATTTGTTATAGAGTAAAAAAAAAAAAGTTAGCTAGCCTAATGCACGAGGCTCTAGCCATTCCAGAATTTGGGAATGGTCAAATTTTGCATCGCATCTGCAAGTGGAGAGACTATTTCCATTTCCAACCTAGAGTTTGCCTCCAAGCGGAGAGGCTGTTTTTATTTCCACACCAGCTTGATTGATTGATATAAAGTGTTGGACCTAAATAGAGTACATGATTATGCATTTTTAATTATTATTAATGCTCTGCCCAAAAATGTGATTGAGAGCCTCAAGCTCCTTATCTAAATGGTAGCAAATGTGGATGGTGGTTGAAAGAAAATGGAGAAGGGATGAGAGATGGACAACTTTATTTATTTATTTTAGTACCATGACACAGCTTTGGAGCTAGAGTAGATGATAAAGAGGTATTGAGAGCAAAGTACTTATTGCCCTTTTCTCGGTTTCAAATATATTTGGCCAATTCTTTGTTAAGAATAGTGCTGTCAAAAGTAAATACTAGGCACATAAGCACTTTGATAGGGGATGTGAAGTATTGAAGTTCTTGCCTAATTCTACTTGCCAATTTTTTTATTTTTATTTTTAAAAAGGTCATTATTGCATAGGTGGGACACAACACTACATAATGCACAAAAAGGTCATTACCTCATTATCCCAACTACACAAGGTCATTTGAAAGTACTTTTTCGTTTTCCCAGTTATGATCTTGTCCCTTTATTTATTTATTTTTTTCAGTCAGTCTCAGCTTACTTTTTACCTTCTTTGGTTAGGGCTTTCTTGGTCTGAGTGGAGCAGTACTAATACAAGTGTATCAGTCATTATTCAAGGGCAATCCTAGTATTTTCATACTTATGCTTGCGTTGTTGCCAACTCTTGTCTCCTTATTGTTCATGTGTTTGGTGAGAACCTATGAGATAAGAAGTTTACATGATAAGAAGCATCTGAATGGTTTGTCAGTGGTTGCTCTGGTTGTTGCCGCATATCTCATGATCTTAATAATCTTGGAAAATGTCTTCACATTGCCGTTTTGGGTGCGCGTTCTTACATTTGTAGTGCTTCTGCTTCTGCTTGTTTCACCTCTTAGAATTGCAATTCAAGCCCAAAGAGAGGACTCATGGAGACTTTCACAAACCTTGTCCACTGAGAGGAGCCCATTAATAGATGACCCTGAGTCAACGGAGTCCAAGAAGTTTTCTGAAGCAGAGGTTCCAACACATTATCATGACAGGCCTGCTGATTCTTCTCACGAGAAGGCCACATCCAGTGATACCATGCTGCAAATTGGAGGTGAAATGACTCTCTTACAAGCCATGTCGACCATTAATTTCTGGTTGTTGTTTGTCGCTATGGTGTGTGGAATGGGCTCTGGATTGGCCACAATAAACAACATTAGTCAAATAGGAGAATCTCTCGGTTACAAAACCGTGGAGAAAAATACATTGGTTTCTTTATGGAGTATATGGAATTTTCTTGGTCGTTTTGGAGCTGGTTATTTATCGGATATTTTCCTGCACAAAAAGGGCTGGGCAAGGCCATTGTTGATGGCCATCACTCTTGCAACTATGACTGCTGGCCATATAGTTATTGCTTCTGGTTTTTCTGGCAATTTGTATGTTGGTTCAGTACTAGTGGGTGTTTGTTATGGTTCACAATGGTCATTGATGCCCACCATTACTTCCGAAATATTCGGTGTACTGCATATGGGTACTATTTTCAACACCATTGCCATAGGTAGTCCTGTTGGATCTTATATACTCTCTGTGAGAGTAATTGGTTATATTTATGACAAAGAAGCCTCAGGCAAAGGGAATTCATGCTACGGCACTCACTGTTTCATGTTATCTTTCTTTATCTTGGCATCTGTTAGTTTTTTCGGATTTTTAGTTGCCTTGATCTTGTTTTTCCGGACAAGAAGGTTCTATACGATGGTAGTGCTTGAACGCATACGACATTCTGCAGGACACTCTGAAGGAAATACATGACTTGTTTGTCCAAGGCAAAAACTGAGGCAAAGCTCATTTTCTGGCTGTAAGCAATCTCTATTGTCATACATAAAAAATAATAATAAAAAGATTCTTTTGTTTGATTGTAAATGAGTTATGGATTTTCTGAGAATTTGTATGTTGGATCAGTACCATTGGGTGTTTGTTATGGTCCACAGTGGTCATTGATGCCCACCATTACTCATTGCCATAGTTAGTCTTGTTGGATCTTATATATATACTCTCTGTAGAGTAATTGGTTTTATATATGACAAAGAAGCTGCAGGGGAAGGGAATTCATGCTATGGCACTCACTCACTCATGTTATCCTTCTTAATCTTGACCTCTCGTAGTTTTTCAGATTTCTGGTTGCTTTGATTTTGTTTTTCCGGACAAGAAGGTTCTATACGCTACTAGTGCTTGAACGTGGATGCCATTCTGCAAGACAGTGTGAAGGAAATATGTGACTTGTTTGTGTGAGGCAAAAGCTGAGGCAAAGCTCATCTTCTGGTTGTAAGCAATGAAATCTTTCTTTATCTTGGCATCTGTTAGTTTTTTTTCGGATTTCTAGTTGCCTTGATTTGTTTTTCCGGACAAGAAGGTTCATTATACGCTGGTAGTGTTTGAACACAAACGGCATTCTGCAAGACCGTGTGAAGGAAATGTGTGAATTGTGCAAGTCAAAAGCTGAGGCAAAGCTCCTTTTCTGGTTGTAAGCAATCTCTATTGTTATACATAATAAATACAAAATTCTTTTGTTTGATTGTAAATGAGTGATGACTTCCTATAGTTCTTTTAGGAAGTGAAAATATATGTCATATAGTTTTTATCATTTTACCATAAATACAATTCATCCTCTCTTCCTGCAGACTGGTATGCATTGAATTCTGCAAATATTCTTCCTTAACTGTAGTAGAACTTGGTTAATCTGCATATTTTGAATCACTCAGATTTTTTGCAAAAAATTTCAAATCCGAAATCGAGATAGAAAAAGACACACAAGCACATGATTAAGTAGAAACAAGCCAACAACTAAATATATCAAATTCTTTTAGATACCATGAAATCTGCCATGTTTCCACAACTTGCATATAACAGAATTGAGTTTTGAGCACTATAGATGTGACGGCCTAAGTTTTTCAATCCGGTGCGTCAGTGATGAACCGAAAGTTGACTCGGTAATGGGCCCGAAATGCAGAAGCAAAAAGTAAAGGTCTCTAGGGATAGGAGTCACCCCTAAGACACCAATGTGACCTTCCATGATGTCACAGAACTTAAAGAGAGTAAAAGCGGAAACAAAGGTCAAAACGGACAAAATTTGTTAATCAAGGAGCAAAATGGTCAATTCACAATTAAAGAGAGAAACTTGACTCTAAACAAGTCAAACAAGGTGAATATAACCTAATCTAATCATTTCACAACATTCCAAGAGGTTCTAAGAACATTGGCTAAGAATCCCACAAAATGCCCTTTCCTGGTTTAAGTGAAAACTGACCCCACCTCGCTAAAATATGAATATTTCTCACTGTGTTTTGAATATGAGGATGTGATTGGTACATTGGAAAGCTGACTCAAAATCCTAGAGTTTAGGCTCAATAATCACCTCATTTGGATTAGAAACGAAGAAGTTATGGCCTTTTAAAGTTGGACCATCAGTGCCGAAACCTAACTGGAAGCTGTGTGCGAGTTCAAGCTATTTTGGTAGGCCGAAATAGAGTTTCGGTCGACCGAACTGGACAGAATGTTTTCTGAAAACATGTTTTTAAGTGTTGGTTGGTTCGGTAGACCGAATTGAAGCATCAGTCGACCGAAATAGGCCATTGGTCGACCGAAATAGGCACAAACAGTGAAACTGGCTACTGGAAATGGGTTTTTACTGTGCAATGAAGTTTCCAATTGTCATCGGTAGACCGAAATAGTGTTTCGGTCGACCGAAACACCTCGAAATGCTGCTGTAAGGCCTATTGTATGCCTAAGGTGTTAAAGTTCAACCCATACTTTGAATCCCCTCATGAATTGGTTCAAAATGAAAGTTTAAATATGATTTTCAATGAGATTTGAGTATGTGAATATGTCAACAAGCTTCATATGCATATTTGAATGTAAAACAACAGCTCCTAGCCTCATACATATTCATTACAAGATTTTCATACACCAAACCTCCAAAATTGGTAAAAGTACATTTTTATAGCATAAGTTGGTGCTAAATGGATATAAGTACTAATATAAACATGCTTGGCCCTTGGCCTCCATACATACATGCTTCTAATATCAAGAGTAAGTACTTGGGTATCATTACACATCAAGGTAGCTACATTAGCCTTAAAAAATACCATACATCTATGGTATGCAAAAATATAACTTCAAAAGTAAAGCATGCTAAACACTTGCATGTCAATATACAAAAATGTCCCAAATTGCTCATTGCCTCTAAGGATAATGAGCATCCAAGAACATAGTCTCTTTTACCTAAAAAACAATCCAAACCACTAGGATGAGTAATCAAGTTACTCGTAATAAGAAGCATATGCGTATACCCTAAAGTTTTAATATCATTGCAAGATCAAGATAGACGAATACAAGGGAGCATTCCACTTAACTTCTATGTTCAAGGTATTCTAAGGGATCATCTTAAGCTAACTTAAATATTTCTTAGCAACATATATCAATATCAATGTACTTGACAACATCAATTCGCTAATAACAAAAATCACAAGTTACAATTAAGCATTGGTTGTCAATTTTGAATTTAATGTGAAATCAATTAGTGGAATACGTGGACATCATGTCTCGGACTAAACCAAGATCAAAATGGTTATTCCGGACATTAACTCGCTGGGAAGACCACCCTAGTGCGCACTATCTTAATTTGGGAGAAATTATACCTCCCGCACTAGAGCCAAACTCTAGCCATATCACTTGTAACAATGTCTCAAGATAATCCAAAATCACAATCAAGTTTGAAACTCAACACTATAATTAAGGCATATAAACCACCTTCTATGCACAAGTGTTTTGAAACCACACAAACCATGTCTTAGGGTTCCAAGTCTAAAATGGCATACCAAATGACAAGTTCTCATCATGATATTTTGTACAACATAATACCACCAACCTATCAATTTAAAGCATACCTCAACAATAAGCTATATATACTAGATTTCAACATTATAGTATTAAGTTTCTAAAATAATCACAATTGTTATCAACAAGATCATAGAATTATCACCACCATAAATATAGCAATTCAAGTCAATAGGAATTGTATATAACATTAATAATTCTACTAGAGTTCTATATCACTATACATGTGAAAATGCTAGAATTTAGCATACTACTAAATTATATAATCTTTCTACACATGGTTTATACATATCATACATGCTTAAATCAATACACCCTGAGTCAAGAAATGAGGGTTTCCTATAATATGCAAAACTATCATATTAAAAGCATGTATACAATATATATTAAACCCCAAGGATTATAAAATTCTTAAAATATAAACATACTACCACCCCTACCTCAATCGAGAATTGAATCTCTATAATCCAAGCAACCAAACTTAAAATAGAAAACAAGTTTAGGGTTAATGAAGAGGAGAGAGGGGAAACTTTTGTGTTCCAAGGTTTTAAGTCTAGGGTGAATGGAAGGAGGCCTAAAATGAAGTCAAAGCTATTAACCAAGCTTTTCTCCAGTGGTGGCTAGGTTAGGGTTCTTAGAGAATAAATGAAAATGAAAGGGATAAAGTTAAAATGGTGAGTGGAAGGTCTAGAAATCCTCCACTCACTATGTGTTCTTACACTACCTCTCTCACACACACAATGCAAGACTTATTTTGGTGCCTACACTTGTCACAAATCAATGGCTCATTCCTAGGCTTAATCTTAAGCCTACACTTGTCAACTATCTAAGCTAACAAGTGCACCTATCCTAGGCCAACAAGTGGGTGAATCTCCACCTTCCAAATGTCAAGAGATCATGCTCCCAAGTCACTCCACCCCAATGCCAACAAGTGGCTCCATGAGAATGTGACACTTGTCACATTTTTCAAAAATTATGAAAAGGCCCTTTTTGAAAATATCTTCCAAAATAAATTATAAAATGGTCCCCAAGACAAAAAATAATTACTTTATGTAATTACACAAAAACCTCAAAAATAAAGAATATTTACAAGAAAGTATGCATCCATACCCTTTATGAAAAAGTAAGCAACTAGAATGTATTTTCTACAAAAGTAAAAATACAAATGTATGGAAATCAAATATCGCGGATGCATACAAAATCAGAATTAAATCCGAGCACAACAAGTGAGGTTATGCACGGAAAAATGATAAACGGGAAAAAGACAAAAAAAGAGAATTGCCGAAAAAGGAAAAAGGAAGAAAAAGACCGGGTCATTACAATTTACCCTCCTTAAAAGGATTTCGTCCCCGAAATCGAGTCGTACCTGAAAAAGAGAAGAAATGGGGATACCGAGAGTGAACCTCCTGTTTGAGCTCCCAGGTAGCCTCCTCAACGCCGTGATGTCTCCACAAGACCTTAACCAATGGAATGGTCTTGGTCTGCAAGACCTGCTCTTGTGAATCAAGAATCTGGACTGGACCCTCCTCGTAGGTCACATCCTCATCAACAACAACATCTGTCCACCGTAAAACATGTGATGGTTCCGGCTCGTACTTCCTCAACATAGAGACATGAAAGACATCGTGAACCTTATCCAAGTCTGGCGGCAATGCCAAACGATAAGCAACTTCACTGACGCACTCCAAAATCTGAAATGGTCCAATGAACCTAGGAGACAACTTACCCGTCTGTCGAAATCTCAGAAGTCCCTTCCGTGGAGAAATCTTGAGAAAGACGTGGTTCCCTACCTCAAAAGACAAGGATCTCCTCCTCTTGTCAGCATAACTCTTTTACCTGCTCTGTGCTGTAGCAAACCGCTGCCGAATCAACTTAATTTTCTCTGTATTCTCAAAGACTATATCGGGACCCAAGGCGACTGTATCACCTACCTCGGTCTAACAAACTGGAGATCTGCAAGGTCTACCATTCAATGCCTCAAAAGGTGCCATTCCAATACTGATCTAGTAATTGTTGTTGTAGGTAAA